TAATAAACCATGATAATACACTCATCGGTGCCAGCTGGAGTAGGAGTTATTTTGAAAGCCTAAGCCTAAATCAATAGTCATCAGCTGTTGGCCTTAAATCATTTTAAAAACATGAAAATGAGTGGTATCTAATCACTATAGAAGAAAAGTAAGGCGGAGAAGTGAGACAAACTTGAAAGCATCCAGGCGGATTAGGCCACTAACTGTTACTCATCTCCATTTTCATTTTCATTAGAATTTACTTCCCTCTCAACTCTCAATGTCGAATATGTATCTTTCCCTCTCCCTCTTTCTCTGCTTGTTGCTTTAATGTTTTTTCATTTATTAAAAAAAAATTTTAACATATTTGAGAAAAAACAACACTGCAGCAGGACAATGTTTCAGTGGCTGTAAACAAAATACTCTCAAATGAAGATTGAACCGAAATATCACAAATCAAAATCTCATATTTCAATTCAAAATAGAATATCGAAATTTCCATTATTCCTCAAAATTGATAACACTGTGCTAAAATGAAATCTCTTCAATACTTTGACGTGGAATATAAGTAAGTTTGGTTGAGAATTGTTCGTCTGTATACGATACAACAACTATTTTTGGCCCATTTATTCTTTTGAAATTTTTAAAGAACATTTGAGAATCTGAAAATATACTCGAAATCAGCAGAAGAAAATCGTTCTGTTATAAAAAAATTGCTGGAAATTTGTTGAATTTGTCGAATTTCAAATCAATTTTATCATTGTGCCGATGTTTTAAACTCCATTTTATGATTATCTCTTCACCTTTTCGATTAATTAGCTCTTATCATAATATCAAATTAATAAGATGGCCAGGTTTATTAAATGAAGACATCTATCCAATCATTAAAAAAAAATTTTATGGGTCATTTATTTCAAGTTAAGTAGTTCAGGAAAGTCCCGAAAACAGTGAATCATTTAACTGCAAACCATTCATGAATGCATTCGTTACAGTTAACGGAATGATTTATATAATCCATACATCAATCATACATCCATACATTCTTCATAAAATAAAAACATAAATGCTATATTATATCGAATTTGTATTTTCACAAGATTTAGGAAAGCTAAATATCCTTTATAAAATATATTATGACAAAGCCTAACATAGAGCATACACTTAGCAACATCAATTATATTTAAATTATATGCGTTCATATTCTATATTCGACACTTAAAACTTGCGATAGATTAATA